ACCGCTACATCACCCCCGTACTCTCCGCGTACCTACCTCGCCTTAATATGAATTCTCCGGACGTAATATCTCGTGTGAAAGGGAAAAATGAGTTGCAGCAAAGAAAGCAGAAATGTCGGTGGTTCGGCCGACAATAGAACAACCGAACTGATCTAAGCTCAGACAACTCTAGCACAGAAGGCACGCTACCCAGAGTCAATTGAATCAAAATTTGACAATATCAACAAGTGCTTGAGAACTAGCTATCTATCCCTAATGTACTTACTATTAAACATAAATGTATCCCTCTTCCATGGGCATGATTTTATATCTGAAACTGGAGAGCTGGCGACATTGCCGAGGGACATGCCTGGCTCATAATTCCCCATTAGAAGGAACTTCGCTGATGTGAGGGTGTAGACACGCACAACGGTGACGGCTGTAAACACTCCGTCGACTTCATATGACCGACTTCAAAAGGAGACGCGAAGTCGTGCAAAACGGCGGCAGGGGCACGCTAACACCACACGCAAAAAATTTAACCCATGTGATCCTTTTCCATAGACACGGCCACTCTCAAGTGCGAAACCAAGCTTCCTACCACCGCCCCTGGGAGCACGACAGTGAAATATAGGTAACCAGATATCTCTTTGGACTGAATAGACCAACCAAGACAACGTAACATCCACCCCGCTAGTCAACTGTTTGCTAGGCATCCATTCAACAAGCCACCACGCATTCTTAGCAGTGGAAATACAATGATAATACAGAATCCCGCACAAGCGAGCTTTGGTCAGCCCAGCGCCCCATCAGTAATCACTTCCCGGCTTGTTCCTAAGGGGACACGCTATACTCGGGGCCTTTCTCAGTAGCAGTGTAAGCCCACCTCAGCCCCAGGAAACTACCTCGTCATCACCGGCCAGTTCGATTAGCCGCAACCACTAGGTCGTCAACCAGGGCGCAGCGCACCCCAGAGCGCCTCGCCAGGACACTACAACACCTCCCCTGACTCGTTTTTTCAGGCTAAATTTAGCTCATCTTTTTCCCATCCTTTGTCCAGAAAACCTCACAGAGAAAAATGCTAATCTTGAAAAAGACAGCCAAAGCATGAACACAGACTTGAGCAAAACATGAATAAACTTAGCCTGAGCAAAGAAATAGATTACCTGCACGCCCAGAAACACTGAGCGCACACGTTAGACGGAGCACCCTAATCACCTGCCTCGAATTCGATAGGGCATAACGGAGGCTCCATCAATCGTGGTAGAAAGAATGATCGGGGAACACGGCTCTCTGTAGCGGATTAAATCATGAACTGGGACCTCAGACTTCGTACTTTATCTCGTGGACCCCTCGGGTCTTTGAACGTTCACTCATTAAGACATCACCCATGACCTCACATCAATACATAACCAACATAGAAAAAATAGCATCAGCTATGCATGAAACAGCATAAGACCCGTTACCAAAAACCTACTATACGTCGGGCGCCTTCACTCGGAGTTCCACCAAACAGATCAAACACAATAAATGATATCTTGATGAATACTCACGCCCATCACCCCCCACCCACCAACCAGCCAACACAGCACAAAAACCACAGCAGCAATGCCGGCTTAATTCACTATCCTCAGCTCCTGCCTGGGTTGGGCAACGCAATCTGCCATCGTTCGTCAGTCCCAACGGTAATCGACACACTGCTGGCTACCTGCTCCAAACCGCAGCCGACTGCATGCTCAGGTGTAATGGGGATGGGCCTCAACCAGCGCTCCCCTAGACGGAGCAGTGTGCCTGATCAGGCTGCTGGTTAATAGTGTAGCGACGTTGCCACTACAGATACCCTGGCAACTTAGCAGCGCGCAGAGTGCCTCTCTTCCACTGAGTAGGAAAGCCACTCGCTAGATGTCACAGATGCCCAGAGGGTTAAATACACTATCATACGAATGTTCCCGATGGCTTCTCTCCTCGACTTAGTCTTCATTCATGACCCACAATATGAGCATCATATCCATTTTCATCTTCCCCCGTGCCCCTAGTTGCGAAACGTGCCTTTAAGTTCAGTGAACGTCATGCTACGTTCTACCCGCACCAAGTTACTGATAACGACTATTGATTAATGAAAAAGAAACAGAAAAACGTTTAATTTCGTTAAGAAACGTTGGATAAGTGAAATTCTCTCTATATAACGTCTAGCAGATTTTTCAGAGTTCTGGCCACAGCCGCCTTCTGCTCACCCAGCTGGCACAACTTCGTAACGACTCATTGCTCTGTGATGTGACTCTGCTCGTCCAGGTAGTCCGCAAGATACACTTACTAGATTGACCCGAAAGTCTCACATCAAACTCCTCTTCAAAAAATCAGAGCTTCTTACTGATAAACAGAATAAAGAATCACAAATGTCGTAATCATTACCCACTATATATAATTTGCTTCATTTGTTTGCTTATCTGTTGGTTTATCCGGAAACTCGGTTCTTCCACAACAACTTGGAGAGGTGGATCAAGTCGGGATGGGTAGTGCATGTGACAAGATGTAAAGCAACCGTTACACCTCGTAAGCCCCGCCCAGTGAGGTGGGGCATGCGTCGGAAGTAGGCGGTCTCTCTGAAAAAATACATAGTTCGGCTAGCAATACCGGGTGAAGCAGAAGTGGATTAAGGTTCAGCATAGGTTGACCCATCAAATGGAGGAGACACACCCGAAATGGGCGGGGCGTACTCGAGATGGGCGGTGCTTCCCACAAATGTCGGTAACTCGGTCCCCGAGAGAGTTTAGAGATTCGCAAAAAGTCCATGGCGAAGACAAACATCTGGCGAGAGTCCATCATACCTGCGCAGTGCGTGACTCCCCCTGTGTGGGAAAGGTATGGCCTCAAACGTAACATATTAATTGAAAGGTAATTCGGAGCACTACAGACGACGCGAAAAAGTGGATTATGGTCCCAAGTGGTCCACGTTGAGAAGTGCAAGATACACCGTTGTGGGCGGAGCGTGCGCCGAGGTGGGCGGAGCCTGATTAAAATTCCGCAAAACGCTTCCAGAACACTCCAGACATGGGGAAAAAGTGTATTAATGTCAGTGGTGGATAACCGGTTAAGAAGTGCGAGGCACACCCGTTGTTGGTGGAAAGTGCATGGTGAGGGAGGAGCCAGGCGGGAAAATTCGCAGAGTGCATTAACGTCAGGATGAGTCACTTGTTGAGAAATAGAAGGCACACCCGTTGTGGGCGGAGCGTGAGGAGAGCTGGGAGGAGCCAGAAGTCAAAGACTCTGAAACGTTCTAGAGGACTCCAGACACCGGAAATAGACACACCAATTGTGATCGAAGAATTTGTCGAGGTGGGAGGGGCAAAAGTGAAAATTTCACAAGTCGCTTGCAGAGCAGCATATACACTAGATACATGTGAACTGAAAGTCACAGACTAGTGGATGAAATGCGGAGACATTCTCAAGATGTATCAATCAAAGTGACGTACTCGAGATGGGCGGTGCTTGCTAAGAAGTGTTATATTCATCGTATTGGGTTTATAAACATGTGGAAGAAGGTAAGCGCGGCAAAGCCGCACCCAAGCGGTGAAGCCGTTCTGTATCACAGAAGGAGGGACGCCGACGTCAATCGGCGAGCCCACTGGTACTCTAATAAATCAGTTTCAAACTAATGGTTATCAGAATTTAGGCCGCATAAACATCGTTACGAACGCGGGTTGTGTGCGTGAGCTTAAAATTAGGAAAAACGCTTCAATGATCCACTACTCATGTCCTAACTGTCTTACGTGACTATCAGTTTATCTACAGTGAAAACTCACAAAGTCAGGCAAGAAGAGGCAAAAACTTCGAATCACAGAAGCACTGGGAGGGGTCAGTCACCCCCATATAAACTGAAGAACAAATAACGCAGATGCGAAACGGAAGGGATTTCCTCGCTGCTCTGCCAATCGTTTTCGGAACCAGAGCGGCCCCATTGTCAAAAACGATTCCCTTACAAACGACACCACTTCTCTCCATCGATGTTGTGCTCTGACGGGGTCAAAATAAGAAAAGTCAGAAGTGCGGAAAACTTTCACAATGGTGATCGACATTTTTCTGAAAAAAAGGCGTTGTCACGTGGGGCGCATTGACAGGATATGAGCAAAACGACGATAATTTTCACTTGCGCTTCAGAGAGGCGCATTCTGTGTTGTGTCCCAGGCAGTATTCACTGACAGTTTCATGGAACAACCAAAGAAGCGAGCTCTCTTTCTGTGTCGCTTCTTGACTGTTTAGAGATAACGCTCGGAAGTGGAGCGCGAGCTCCTCAGTCAACAGACTAAATCAGCTCTCATCTCATACAGCAAGATATGCGGAAGAGCCCAAAGTGTACAGAGCGATTAGGGGCGGTACGACATTTCCGAAAGGAACTTTCAGCTGGACACGACTACCATCCTCGCCATCCCGCTCCACGAAGTTTATCTCCCTCTATGCGACCCCTTTCTACTCCCCTCCTTTCTACTACCACTTACCACTAGCCTAACCTTGCCAAATTACCCCAAGATTTTGACGCCAAGTCTCCAGGAGGATGGGCAGGGGGGCGGGAGTGTGGGGGGAATGAAGTGAAAGCGGAAAAAATCAACTATCACGGAAAAATTTCGTGAGTAAACACGATCTTCCTCCCCCTCCGGCCTATTCAACCATTGCTATTTTCGTCTTAGATGATGTGCTCTGTCATAGGAGCACTAGGCTGACACATAGCCATCACCGCCACCGGCTGCGAGTAGCAGTGACTCACCTTTTCGCCCCTCCGTAACCGATTTAGTTTTAGACATCCACGACTGAAAGCCTAGTGAACTGTATCGTAGCGCAAAATCTTGAACAGAAAAAATTAAATAATTTCGAGGTCAGTATCTCGAGATTACTAGTTGAGCTACAAAACTTCCCGGACAACTCTAGCATTTTGCGTTACAACTTTTTATTCAGGTCTATTTCAGGGAGCACGGATCAACGCCCATAGAAATGTACTCGCTGCATGCTCAGATTATTTCAAAGCCATGTTTACAAACGACATGGCTGAAAAACACCTGCGTACGTTAATAACATCCTATATATGCCTGAAAACCCTATCGAAAACATCATGCAACGGTGTCCATCAGCATCGCACTGGTAGTGAACTAGAAAGCAACATGCGGGCTACACTATGCATGCTTTTCTTCGGAACAGGGCCGGTAACCCAGGACCATCCACGCATGAGATAGAAGCCCTGGTAATCCTGGGATGAACTGTTCTGAGATACGCCTCGCCCAGTTCTTGCGCATTCCTTCTCGGACGCAGATTTTGCAGTGTTCGTCTTACTACCGCTTTTAGGAGAAATGGAAATGGTCGATGTGGAAGCCTCTACTCTTGATGCTCTCGTAAATTTCTGCTACTCTGGAAAGATCACGATCACCGAGGATAATTCACTGAGTATTCTGGCCGCAGCATGCTATTTTCAGTTGGACGAAATTCAGGTTCGTAAGACCGTAAAACTGATTCGCTGAAACGCTCGCGCCTTACTGAACGTAGAGCACTCTGCTTGCACGAAGCTAGAAGTTACCTCTTTCCAAAACCTCCACGCGCGAGTCAAAAGCATCGCGCAATACAGAAGGTATCACAATCGACGCCAAATGTATAATAACCAGTCTAGCTGACGCGCACAGGGTTAAACCTATGTTACTGATACTTGACAGGATTTCTGTGCTGAACAGTAACACTTACAGCCTAATTCCTATGTTTCCAAAACGGCCCATTTCATCATGTTTCTCCCTTTTAATGAACACTTGCCAATGTTAGGCTCATATCATATTTCTAAAATCACCATTCGTTGGAAATCGGACAGCATAGCGGTTGGAAGGATTCCGATGGTAAGTATCGAAATCATAGTGGCTCTTATCATCCCTCACTTGTAACTCCAAACATCCTGTTTTCGGCGAACTTGAGCGTTTAGCGGCGACAGTAAGTCCGAACGTTAAACTGAGGGATTTTGCTAAGGGAAAACATTTGACTCACTGAGCCTTCG